CACTTATTTCATGGTCCAAAGGGAGATTTGAGCTGCAATTTATCTAGGGTTCAGTGTCCTTGAACTTATTAGTTCTTACTATCAGCTAGACATAGATTATATTGTCAGGTTGGTTTCAATAGGAGAATATCTGTAGCTCAAGATTGAAATGTGGAGTCCTTGATGCTCTCTGAGTTATTTGCTTGAAGAGATTTCATTACCAGACTAGGTAATATTATCAGTGCTAGTGGCTGTGAGGTTTCTCCCTGTTTATATACAGTAACTTACCCTGCCAATATTGGTAGTATCATGTGGGACTTAGAGAGCAACCATCTATGTTGGGGTATGGCCCTCCATTGCTATCACATTATGATTTTTAATTATGACAGAATGGAAAATTATTGAAGGGGTTAGTTACATTAACAAGATTTTAATGTAACATTGTTTCTGTTCAATTAAATAAAGTATAGTCCATTTCGTCCATTTCATCACTCATTTTTTTCCTGGCCCTTTAGCCATTTTTTATATAGTATCTTTAATTCCCAGGTGAAGGTGGTCAAAAAGCAAGAAAGACTTCTGCAAAAAATAAAATGTAGGAGAGATGGGAGATTATATGTTACATATTGCATGACCTTTACATTAGAATCTTGTTGCAGTTACAGAGAAATAAAATGCACACTTTATTTATTGAAATTAAATTTTACCAAGTATATCAGCAACATTCGTGGAGAAATGGGACAAGGGGAGGCACGTGAAAAAAAAAGCAGCACTGCATCAACACAACGCATCTCCACCCTTTTGTAGTATGTGGTGGTACTGTATGTCTGCAACAAATGTATTGAATTTATAGTAATATGGCTTTCATTATTTTGACAAGGGAAATACATAACTCTGATCTAAAAGCAAAAAGATAGTTATTAGAGGATGAGAAGACAAGTTATTGCCCTCTTTTCACCCAAGGTGCACCCATAAAAATACTACAGTAACATGTAAAATCCATCCATTCACATTTCTAGGAAAAGGTTTAAGAAATGCAGATGTAGCCAATCTCAACTACACCAATTTGTTAGCAATCCAGATGATAAGGATTAGAGTCCCTCTGTTAGACAGATGAAAAATTTCAAAATTTGATATAAACAAACAAACAAACAAACAAACAAATAAATAAATAAATAAGTAAATGTTTACAGCTGGAATACAAATGCAAAAAATTCTGAATTAAACAACAATAAGCACAAATATATTGTATCTACATAGCAATAGCACTTAGTCTTATATACCACTTCATAGTGCTTTACAGTCCTCTCTAAGCAGTTTACAGAGTCAGCATATTGCCCCCAACAATCTGGGTCCCCATTTTACCCACCTCAGAAGGATGGAAAGCTGAGTCAACTTTGAGCCACTCAGGATTGAACTCCTTGAGCGAGCAGTGACATATATCCATATTTAAGAGAAGAAATAAACATACACACACACAAATGTGTGTGTGTGTGTGTCTGTGATTGTGTGTGTTTATTCTCTTAAATATTGGATTTATACACACACAATGTGTGTATATATATATAAATCCAATATTTATGTATGTGTATGTGTGTGTGTGTATGTACTGTGGATGAGTGTGTGTATGCTATATATGTGTATAAATCCAATATTCAAGAGAAGAAATAAACACTGGGAATCAATGCATGCACTAGAAATATGTGCATGCCAATATACAATTATGCATACATAAGACAAATACATGTGAGTTTTTGAGCGGGAAGGTTGTTGGTGATAGGACTTTTGTTTTTGTTTTTGTTTGTTTTTGTATGACCGATCTCCTTTGATTGTAAAGTTCTAGAGAAAGAGGATTGAATGAATTTAAGAGGTAATAGGATGAGAAACTGAGTGAAAGAGAAATTAACAGATTTGCTCATTCATATTCAGTTATTCTATGAACAGCTGTTAGTTTGCTTTGGTACAAAACTCAAACAAAGATGAAACATTACACAATAGAGATTTACAATTCACACCTTTGCAAACATTTTATCCCTTTTACATGAAGCTATGGGCAAAATATTTACCTTGTCTTTGATTAAATATGCAACAGCCGGATGAAACAGCTTTGCAGGTTACATTCATCTGCCAGTTGACCAACCCTAGGTAGAAAATTTTGGAACACACTTATTGATTTCATAGTTAATTAGAAAAGCTGTAAAATAAACTGACAATTATTCTTAGAAACCATTTGACTAATAACTTGGCAGCAATACATATTTCATGTATTGTAATATGCTGAAAGATATAATGCCAAAGGCAGGTTGATAAACCAACTGATGACTGGAACAAAAACTCCCAAAGCCATAATCTGAAGATTGCTTTAATTACATTATGTGATATAAATGATCTAAAAATTAAAATAAATTATCTGCATATTCTTATTAGAGGCATAATGTCATATAGAACTTTAGTCAGCCAGAACATCTGAATTCATGAATACACAAAACAGTCCTTTGGTATTTGTTACTTATTCTGTAATACAGTTAATGAAACAATTACTCTTTGCAAAGAACATTATGAAAGAATAGATAATATATGAAAAGATGAAAGAAAATTATTGATTGTGATAACTCAAATGTGATTGTAATTTTGTATTACATCAGGTTTCCAGGGGTCAGTTTTGTTCAAGGTGACTTTGCTTATTGTAGCTTAGAATAGTGCTGTACATTGATTTTAATTCATTTTGATGAAAGAATTTGAGCTTTCTTTCAATGTAACTTTTTAAGAAGATAGCTTCAGTGAAATTCCCAAGGATGGAGGATGGATTTCTTACAACATTATATATTTAACTATGAGATGGGAAGTGGTACACATGAATGTTCAGAATTTCCCTATACTATTGTCTCACTAATGGGTGTTCAGCATCCAAGTTTCCATAAATCCCAAGAGGTCATAAGAAGGAAGCTTGTCCCATGAGGGTTGTGTTTTGTTTTTGTTTTGTTTTGTTTTGTTTTAGATAAGGAAGTATAGGCAGCTACAGAAGGTCCAGAGTTTAACAGAAAACAGCACACCAACAATGGTACGCTTGCTATCTTCAAAGGAAGCACAAAATTATCACCAACAGACAAAGAGGATAAAATCTTGAGCCCCAAGAGAATAAACAGAGAAGCAGAAATTTGTTTTTGTAGCCTTTGAGAAACCCTGAATCACATTTCAGTAGATTCAGGAGTCAGCTGTTGCAAAAGTCAATTTCACTATCAATCAAGTACAGTCCTTTACATCTTTATTCAAAGGAAAACCCTATTACTTAAATTAAAAAAAAGCTTAGTAAGGAAACTGTATATTGACAATTTGGGTGATTTTTCCCCCCTTCTTTGTTTATTTACTTGTTTTTATGTGCCAGAGCTAATATAATTAAAAGGTATTTTAATTATGTTTTTCAAGCAATACTATATTAGGAAACAAAACATTCCTTTCAATAATGTTAAGGTGGTTTTCATTTATTTAATTTTATTAAAAATTACTTTAATTTAACATATTTGGTCTCAAAATATTATTTGTAACTCTCCTAGTTGTAGGTGTATTGAAGTTTTGATCAGTGTTAAGCACATTGTTGCTTAACAGCTGTATAATTAGGCTTTGCATAATTATACTTTAATAATTATACTGTAGTTTATATTGCAATCTTAGAATTTATAAATGATCAGTATAAATGATATTTTAGAGTATTTATGGAATTCTATATCTTACTTTTTTATTTTTATTCTGATTGTTATGGTTTATGGTTAACAAATGAATTCACCTGATGTTTTCATGGTATGAATATATTTTTCAATGTATTCAGATAATTAAAACAGACCTTTTTTAAAAAAAATAATTGAAACATTACCCTTTTTTATTTTCCTACATTCACTTTAGAATTGATACAATTATAAGGATCAAACTTGTCAGAATGAGCTTTCTGTGGTTTTTAAAGTACAGACATGATGACTCTACTTTAAAAATGAGGCACGATACAATCTCTGTTTAGAATGTCGTAACTTTGTCAAAACTGTGATAAAGCTATGACTTTTTTACACTTTGGACATAAGGCACCTGTAGCCTTTTTGATGTGATTGGATTCCAGATTCTTCCAACAACAGTTATCCTATTTGAATTACAGTTTAATGATATTTGTTGGGCTGCAGGTTTTCTGCTCCTGATCAGTTATAGCATCATCATATGATAGTGGTTTCATTACTCTGTTTTACAAGTAGGAAATTGCATGTTCTCTTTCTTAAAGAAAAAAAATACAAAGAAGCTATAAGTCATCTACATTTCTTCTATCGTTCTTTTCCCTCAAGATGTCTGTGTTTATGTATGAGTCAAATTGCTTTAATGTATGTAAACAGCTACAGTATATAATATACAGAATCAGCTTTCCTTTCTTTTGACAGAACATGTCACAATTCACTTCTTAAAATGAAAAATGATCATTTGCAAAAATATGTCACACAAATGCTTTGCCAGTTGGAAAGTACACAGCATTGTTAATCATCCAGAAACTAACTTTCTTTTGGTGGCTTAAGTTAAAGGGACTTTTAGATGACATCTGCAGGTTATGATTCAACTTGCTTGAATGATCAACATGACTTTTTCCTTGATGTTCAGTCTCTTGTTGCTTCATTGGCTTGTATCCTCTTGTCTTTATTTATGATGTACCATAAGCCAGACTCTTGGAAAGGTCCAAGATTAAAGGGATGGGGAAGCTGAGATACAGCATTTCTTACACAAATAGGATAAATACTTTATGATTCTTTCTGTTAAGGACAAAATACAGACAAGTTTTGCCAGTTGATTTTAAGACTCACAGATCTATGATTTAGTGGATCTGATGTATAAAGTATTTCACTTCTTTAACTGAAGTTGATAATCTTTTTTTTTTTCCTTCTCCCACTGAGGCTTCTTCTGCCTAGATTTACTTCCTGCTTCTTCACAGCAATTTAGTGATTTAGGAATGGGTGCTTTGTATGATCAAAAATCTTTCTTTCTTCTTTTTTAAGGAAGCTTGCAAGTCCGATACAGACTGAGTAAAGACAAATCTCTTATTTTCACAATTGATTCTGGAAACTTTGCTAACAGAGAACTACACAGTGTGAAGATAAATAGAGATGGAAGAGAGCTGACTATTCAGGTATCTATTTTACCCTTTGTTGTGGCCCACACCTTCCTGAACTTTTTACTATCCTTAATAATCAAATGAAAAGATAAATTTGACACCTGTCCTGAAAAGCACATGCCCATATTTGTTATAGTTCCTTCTGGGTCTGTAAGTAGCTACAGCAATGGCATGGTCAGATAAGCACTTGCCCAGTCAAGCGACTGTTTTGTCTTCTGGCTGCAGCAACTACTTTAAGACTGGAAATAAGGGGTTCAAAAACAGAAAAAAGGATGATCCAGAGTTTTCATTATTCATTGCCCATGTTTCTACTCCATACAGAAGAACCAGCAAGTCATAACAACATATAATCAGCTGACAAATGCTAAATTTATTTATCTTTCAAATAACTAGTATCCTTTGTTCAGCCCTGTTACTTATTGCCATGCTTTGATGCCATGTCATTCAAAATACAGCACTCCTGGTACTTTTTTCTCTAGAAGTGTATATACAGTATATACAGTAGATCAGGGTTGAACTGTGGAGTTCTTTGTGCTTTCTGCACTTGGTTGGTTGTTTGAGACATTCGAAACATATGCAAGCAGACAACCAAGCTCAGAAAGAATCAAGGAACTCTACTTCTTTCTCTGTTAGCATAATGCTCAATTTAGGGATTTAATATTTACTGATGACTGTTAATTTTGTTTTTTCCCCAATTTATAATTAGCCTATAAAATTAACTCAATTGGTATATTTACTAAAGTCACTTCCTGCCAATATAATGATATCATCCACATACCTAAAATAATAGGCTACAGATATTGGAGAATGAAAACAAATAGTGAAAAAAAACAAAGTTTGTATCTCCCTCCCTTATAAAAACTGATGGGATCCCAGTAAAATTTGTAGTAAAATTGAAACACATACTTTGATGCATTATAAAGGTTAAAAAAAAGCCAGAGAGTAGAACTTGTTCATACTTATATTGGGTGTGTGAAAGATCAGCAACAAAATAATTGTGTTGGTATATGCCATAGTTACAGATATGGGAGAAACCTAAAGGAAGAATGATAGGAAAATGTCAAAAAGAAAAAAATTGGCTCCTGATATCACTGATCAACACCAGCTGATTACAGATCTAGAATGCAATAAAGAAATATATAATTAGCTTCATGATACATTTAAGTTAAAGCTAAATGTATAGGCTGATTAAGGATTACAATGTCAAAAGGATCTTTTGCCTTCATTAGGGAATTATTCATGAAGATGTATTTTGCATTTGGCTCACCCTGTATTCACGAGAATACAGTTCAGTAGGTTTGCGCTAATAACTTCAAAATGAATTTCCCCAAATAACATCATTCTGCCTGTTGTGCTAATTACAATATAAGGCATCTTTGATCAGAAGGCTGATTGTGAATTATTCTAATAATTCTGTGCTTTGACACATAAAGAATGAAAGATCAATGAATTCTAAACACCTGTTGATTTGTGTCCTCCATTTCTCAAATACTGTTCTGCTATTGTGTATAACTTGGCATAGGAATATACATAATTATAACATAAGAAACTAAAAACAGAATCAGCATCAAGCTGATTAAGAATCCAGGCTAAATTCAGTTCTAGGAAAACAAATTGGACAGCTTCCCAACATTGTCTGACCTGCACAGATATTGGAATGATAAAGCTGACAGCTACAACCTTGGGGAATTATTGAGCTGCTCTCAAAATCTCAGTGTTATGCAAACGTGGGGAAGATTTCCCTGACAGGAGCCTCATGTTGGAGTGAAATATAAATGTGAAAAAAGTGCATACCAACAAAAGAGTATAGCATTCACTTGCTTATGAAAGCATTGTTAATACCATGCATTTTTGCTTCCTTTCCAGATTGACCAGGTTCTCAAAGTCAAGCACAACTTTTCCTCCGAGATTGAGTTCAGAGCCATCAAATCACTGACCTTAGGGAAAGTGACAGGTAGGCATATGTGGATAATTTTCTGACTTGTAGATAATTATATTATGGTCAACTATGCAATGTATTGTTTGAATACACGTTGACACACTTTTATTTTCAATATGTTGTTTACATCTCTGCTATGTCTAAATAGTGCTAATATTAAACTCTTTGCAAGAGTTTACATTCTTTTTTTTTTAACTTGGCCAGACATAAATGCTGATCGTGAATATAAGATCTTTTTTGTGCAAGAAGACTATGGAAGAAAAATGTTATGAGGGCTATTGAGCTCGTGAACAACTCAATAGCTGATTGTCACAGACTTCTACAATAGGACCAGGCAATAAAGCAGATAATACTTTAGGGGTTCTTTTTAGTATTCCATATTTAGTGAGTGGCAAAATAGAAGTAATATGACAACAACAAAGAGAATGAAGTACTTTGAAGCTGGTACAGTACAATCCCATGCATGCTCATTTAAAAATTGGATTCAGTTGAGTTTAATGGAGTTTATTGCTAGGGAAGTTTGAACATGGTTGCAATTTAAGATGTATAGCACTATTACATGTAGTAAGCCACATTGCCAAGAGTGAAGGGGAGGTGTTGCTGCAATTGTTCTGAGACCACTGAATCACTAACAGCACCAGCCTGAAGATGATTATTGCATATGTCTGTTAAATTGGGCCATAATGACAGTCTGGACTAACTGTCCATAGGCACCTGGATACCATCTCAGGTCTGGTATTAGAGTCCCAAAGCTTTTGATCTTGGGAAGCTTGAATTCTCACACTCTGGGAGTGGATTCCAGAGAGACTTATGAGATCATGGCAACCATGACAACCATATTACAGGTAATAGTGGCTATAATACACATAGATGATCACAGGCAGTGGTGAGATTCAAATATGTGAACAACTGGTTCTCTGTGTGGATGCCTCTTCTGGAAGTCTGTTCTGGACCTGGGCAACAAAAAATTAGCTACTGGTTCTGCCGAACTGGTGCGAACTGGCTGAATCCCGCCACTGGTCACAGGCCTGATTTGTTGTTTACACAGAGTAGATGAGAAGTGAGCTGAATTTAGAGAACATTAATATCTGTCCTTTCTCGTGGTCAAATCACTTTCTACTCAAATTACACATTGTCAATGAACTATTAGGATGACAACCAATTTATGCCTGGTTGACCTCTGGAATACCAGAACTGGGAACCTTTTGACCGAGATAATTTACAAATCTTCTTTTTCTCCTTCCTTCCCTCAGAATTCACATTATCTCCATCCAGTATTTTTCTTTGCATGCATAGGTAAAGAGGAATGCTGGCTGGGCTGAGGACAATCATGAAGGAAGGACTATATAGAAGGAAGGACTATATAGAAGGAAGGACTATATCCTGCCATTTGGAAAAGTAAAGAAAATGCAATCCCTGAATGTCCTCTGACTGAACTGAATCTCTTACCACTTCCTCAAAATCCTTATAATTCTCCTCTCTCATTTACACATTCCAGGAAAATGAGTCTATGATTACAGTGTACAGTATATGATAAAGCGAGGTGGCAAGTTTTTTTTTTATTGTGAGCAGCCCCTTTGGTTCTTTGAGATAAACAGGGGATAAAAATGTTTTAAATAAATAGGAGTACTTTCCATTGCAGTTATGCCAAGCATCCAAGACATTAAAACATTATTTTTAGGCATTTGAGAATAAAAGATTTCCCACTCTGTGTCCTTGAATGTTCAAAACTGATACATTTATGCTGGACTAAACCAATCACCTAGCCTGCAGTAAAAATCATGACATAAAGACTAGACTGGAATTGCTTCTGAACAAGAGAATGAGATAGATGGTTAGTATGCATCCAAGAACACTTATAAGGAAGTGACTATTCTGGTCCAGTAAAGCACACAAAGCCATTGAATTTGATTTGTACATCTCTCCATACCCTTAAAAAAACTAGTCCTTGCATGTGTGCAAATGATAACATACCCAAACCCCTTGTCCCTTCTCTTTATTTAATCAAGCAACTCTCTGCAGAATCTACTGCCATTTCTTTTAGTTAAAGCACTTGATAGTCTAGCTGGAGGCTACATTTAATGATTGCTAACAGGTGGACATTGTTCAGTGCTTCAAAATTTAAAGACACCAATGGATACGCACTCCAGATGTGAATCTCCTTATCTTTATCAAAGCGAGGCTATGAAACAGACCCAGCCTTTTCCTGAAATTAATTACCTTGCTTCCAGGCAATCTGTTTTCCCTCGATGTGAATATCTCATCTGGGAATTTTTCAGGACAGTAAAGGAGCTGAAATTAAATGGCTGTGTTTTCCATTAAATTAAAGGGGATGCTTTTTATGTGCATAGTCACTCATGCATGTCCATATCTTATATTCAAGGGGAAGATTAACTGAATGAATCAAAGAGTCTGCACACAAGCCAGTTCTGAAATTAACTGTATATAAATCTCAGAAGCCAGGTGGAATGGAACATGAAACTGTGTCAGCAGTGTCAGTTAACTAAGCAAGAAATGAGGGATAATATATGAAATTAGTTATTATTTCCAATAGCCATTTAAATACGGTATAACCCAAACTCTGCAAAATTACAGTTCTGATTAAAAAACAGGTTTTAAAATTACAATTCCAGAACAATGTTATCTGGTGAGCACCCTTGATTTTGATCTCTAGGTTTTTATTTTATGGATAAAGAAATATAAATGCAATTCCAAATATGAATTTTATTTTTATCATTCATGTTGCTTTTTCTTTTATTCCTTCTCGTATTGCATTGGAAGGTAAAAGTATGCGTTCTTGCATTATTTCAGATTTTACCTAGCTATTTGGTAGAGGAAGTATACAGTTCTTATAATTCCATGGTACAATTTACATTCTAAATCCTTCCAAACCTGAGTGTTTATCTTGCCAATATTCTAAGTCAGCCTTCCCTGAATGGGTGCTTTTCAAATATGCTGATGGGATTACATCAAGATAGCAAGTTCATCAACTGTGTTGATGGGGAGTTTGAGCATTATAATTTCAAAATATGTTAAGGTCTATAGGTTAAGAAAAAAGGACTAAATATTAGAATTCCTGATCACTAGCTTCAAACAGGACATCTGCTGATTGCAGAGTATGATTAATTATTGAAGAAATCTATTGCAGCCCACAATAGTTCCCTGTCTCTCTCATTAAAGACAAAGCTGGATGTGACTGGACCTGGAATCCAATATATGGAAGGCCATAGCTCTTACGTTATGAAATGAATTGGAAACATCATCAACCTGGACACAATTTCAATTTCCTTGGGGTAGAGCCTACAGTCTACAGTAACCTGCTTGTTCCGGTTCTAGTTTTCACAAAATTCAGCCTGCTTCTTCACAGTTTCAGAGCTGTACGAAGCTCTGTGTGATAACAACTGTAGCAAAAGGAGGAAAGCTTGTATTGTTTACCTAAAATTTCAGACTAGGGAGAGAAAAAGGAGGCAGAGAGCATTAGATTTTATATCTATTTTTAAATCTTTGCAATCAAACCACCATTTTTTGGCATCAGTTTTGGAAAGTAGGTTGAATTACAAAACAGTATGGACCTAAAGTTACTGTTTAAGTTTCTATAACTGAGTGTGAACTTCAAAGTCAAATTGAATCATGTGTCATCCTTGATTTATGAGATACACAGGTTACTAGCTACTTTCTGGATGCAATTCAAGGAGTGTTGGTTATCAGCTATAAAACTACACATGGTATAGAGCTTGGTTATCTACTCAACCAATGAGCTTGAGCAGAATGTGCATGCTGCAAGTGACTTCAGTTGAATATTCCCCATCTCCCAAGATTAGTACAGTCTCATTCTAGAGTTGTTCCAGAAGTCATTAAAGTATGGCTCTGCTCCAAGGTCTGGGCTTAAGGGTAGATGCTGAGTTGGTGGTGGTGGTGGTGGTTTTGATTGAATTTTTGTTATTTTGGTTTCCTGGACACAGATTTTTTTGACTGGTTTTCTTTGTGTGAATTGGAATTATTTTCTTTTTGGAATCAGGTGGTCTTCCAATCTAATAATATAAATAAATAAATAAAAATTTAAAGAAAAGCAACATAAACACACACACACACACCCTTACATACATATACTTTTGTGATAGTGGTGAATATTTGTAACTTGGGTATAGGATGAGAGTAGTGATTCGTTCTCTGAGCTTGTGGGTTGGTTTCTGAACTAAGTACAGTAGGTACCTAGGCAAGGTAACATCTTTAGTGGAATTTAGGGGAGAACAGAATTTTCCCCTAAATTCTACTGAAGATGTTACCTAACCTGTAACAAAACATTCGGAAACCAACCCACAAGCTCAGAGAACGAACCTCCACACTCATACATATACGTGCATACAATAAATATGCATACACAATTGGAAAACCTGACATCATATTTTGAAATGTAAAGCTTTTGAATGTTATTGGTTGTCTAAAAAAAATAAATAAACAGCACCACTAGCAATGGAGTATGAAAGATCAGGAGGACCAAGATCCCCCCTTCTCACTATCGACCCCATTGTTCTGAAATAGAAATGGTCCACAATGTATCTTTCTGAATGTATTAGGAAATTGTTTGATTACTTTTATTGTAGAAGTGGAATCTGATCTTCCACTTAAGAATTGCCAGTTGATATTGGCCATCCCTCAGAACAATTAGAGGGTGTTGTTGTTTTTTCAAATTGTCCAATTCTACCTGGATCTCAGTACGCAGTTACTGTTGGGGAGAGTCATTTCACAATGAGAGAAAAACATTCTAGTCCCACCTCTAGAGACTGCTATTATTGTCAGAAATAGAGTTTGCATTACTTAATTGCTGTGCCTTATGTTATACTTCAGGGAGAGTCTATAGAATCCCTTTGGGAAGGGTTACCCAAATGGAGGGTTGTAAATTCTCCACCCTCTTCCTCGTGAAGTCTTTCTTTTGGAGCATTATTTTTAGAATGAATTATTGTTCTCTCAATTGACTGCAGCTGTCTGCTCTCAAAAGCATTTTCCTTTGGCAT